GTTTTAGGGCCCAAATACTATGATATGAATGGTATTGGGGCCCTAAAGCCCTATTATTAGGGTCTTTGGACCCTTAGGGCTTGTTGCTGCCTAGGATCCCAAACTTCCTCAATCTCAGGCTTTGGGGCTTAGGGTTTCGATTGAATGTTTAGACATTTTAAAGAATGACCACCCCCCCAGCCCTAAGCAAGTGCAATGAACCAGGAACCCTAAACCATCGTGAAGCTTTTCTAGGGCTGAAACAGACCTAAGCCCTAAGCCCTAAGCCCTAAACCCTAAACAAGACCCTAAAGCTTACATACTCCGATTTGGAGATGATACGTTTGGTGATGGCTCTAAGCTGGCTGGCAATTCCAGGGAAGTAGGGTTTAGGGTTCTTGGGAGTTTGAGGGTTTAGGGCTTGAGGCCTTAGGCGTTTAGGTTTTAGGGTTGAAGGTTCACCGGCTTAGGTACCATTGTAGGGGTTGTTATTATAGGGATGGTTATGAGGATTCAGTCCGTCACTCGAGCGTTAGCACAGGTGAGTTGCAGGATGCGGGCTGGGGGTGAAGTTTAGGGTTTAGGCTTTGCGCCATTCCAACACCCCTTGAACAATGGAAGCTCTAGGGCCTGCACTCTAAAGGCCCCTACCTGAATACCAAAAATGTGGCATGTTTGGTTTTGAGCCATGTTCCCTACTTTGCGGATTTAGGAAAACTATACACCAAACCTATGCCGCGCACAACGACGAGGGGTGAGAGGTGATCACGAGTGTCATGAAGGCCCTCGCTTGCGACCAAAACAGGCAAGGCTGCTTGTGATGACGCGCCAGATTCCAGACAGGGAGGGGGCTCGATATTGTTTAAGGGCATAGGTCTTATGGCTTGCCTTACCTCCCTGGGCATGATAGTACTCAGCCGAAGTATCCATATCAATGAGCCCGGAACATTAAACCCAAAGCTCTAAGCCGTAAGCCCTAAACCAAAACAATGAACCATGTTGCCGGGATCGCAGTGCGGCTCATGTCGGGACTGATCTCTACATCGTCATGGTAAGCTCATTGGCTTTCTTTTTATAAATCCCCCATGTGAGCTGCAGTCTCCCTAAACCCTAGACCCCAAACCCCAAACTCCGTAAAGGGGGTTGTATAGGGGATTATATAGGTGCCCTCCCGAGGCTTAGGGTTTAGGGGGTTTGTCCCTGTATCAAGAGAGGAGATTCAAATGTGGGACGGTTCAGGGTTCTGACTTTACAAAAGGTAGCTTACAGATGTGTGGTGGGTAGCCTTCCACAGGCCCTCAAGGCCTCTCTGATAAGTCACGGAAAAATCTTATGGAAGATTTTCAGGGAGCACTTGGGAAATTTTCCAGCTGTCAACTACCCACCTGTTGATGCTTGCTTTAGGGCTTAGGGATGGGGTTGAGGGTTCTGGTGAAGCCGTTTAATACAGCATCTACCTAAACTCACGGGCTGCTAGTAGGGAATGGGGTGGACAGGATCCATATAGTCCCTAAACCCTAAACCCCAGATCCTAAATCCTAAACCCTGTCCCTATATAATCCCCAATGGTGTTTTAGTTTACATGTTTCAGTTCTTCATGCCTTTCTCACAAGAAGCAAGTGAAGGAGTTTAAGCCCTAAGCCCTAAACGCTAAACTGTGAATCCCAAACCCTTACTGATCCAAGTATACAAACATTACCTACATTGGGCCCTAAAGTCTGTAAGAATTACCTACATTGGGCTATATGGATCCCTAGACCCTAAACCCTAGACCCCTAAACCCTAAACCCTCGCGGCTCTGGAACGCAGTGTCACTCACGCTGAATTCGCAACTGGCATAGCCACGCGCGCAGTAAATTGCTTTTAAAGCTTCCGTAAGACTTCCGTTTTCAAGTCAAGGGTGAGGGTATACTACACCTAGGGACCTAGAGTAACCTGGACCCTGAATTACAAAGAAGGTAAAGATACCAAAACGTCAGGTATGCTCGCATGGGTTACTTTTAGTAGGGATCCAAGTATACAAATAATGCCTACGTTGGGCCCTATAATGTCTTTTATGTGTTTCTTGAATTCACTCTTTGGATCCCTACAACCAGGTGACGACTTAGAATTGTGTCGCGGTCGCAAAACCCTACATTGTAATCACCCTAACTGGACTGATATAGATTCTCCCAGTTAGAAGTGGGCTTCATAACTTATGACTCCACTTATAAGTAGCTACTAGGTTCCAGGAAACTCCAAGTAGGGTTAAGTAGGACCGTGATTGCCCTAAATCCTAAAGCCTAAATCCTAAACCCTAAATCTTGAGCCCCTCGGCAGGTTCCATGCGAGTGTTAGGATAACAAGTATCTATCTTTCTTTCCATCTAGCTACCCTATTACAGGATCCTGTTGGGGGGCAATAACCAAGGTTTAGGGTTGAGATTTTTTGGGTTGAGGGCTTCGGGTTAAGAGTTTGCTGTCCAGGGCTTGGCGTCTGTTTGATGTGGGCCCAAATACCATTCATTTTATAGTATTTGGGACCTAAAGCCCTATTATTTGGGTCCTTGGACCGTTAGGGAAGGTGCAGGCTATCTCATATTCTTTGAAGCTGCTCCTGGATGATACTTGGTATCGAGGGGGTCCCTCACCCCTAAACCTGAAACCTTCACCCCCTAAACCACTAACTCTATTAGGAGGAGGTGCTTTATTGGGCTGCGCTAAGCCCGAAAGCCTTACACTCCCGGAAACTAACATGGACACCCAAACAGGGCACTTTAAAGACTACAGTTCCTCTAAAAGGGTACTATATGGGTTTCCATGTTAGTTTGGGGGAGTGTAACCCTAAACCCAAATCGCTAAACCTTTGGGATAGAGGCCGGAGATGCACCAGCGTTCTTGGGTTGAATCCCAAAAAATCCTACACCCTAAGCGCTCAACGCGAGTACGCATTAGACCCCAAGCCCCTACACCCTAAACGTCGTGAACCCAAAGCTAAAAACCCCTACACCTTCAACCCCCAAGCCCTAAACTCCTAGGCCTTAGACCCCACATCCTAAACCCTAAACCACTAAACCTTGAACCCCCAGACCCTAAACCCTAAATCCTAAACCCCAAATCCTAAACCCTTTAAGACAACATGGGTTCATGTTCAGGGGACCCCACACCCAAATACCATTAATATTATTGTATTTGGGCCCGAAGACCACCATCATTTTGAGTCCTTGGACAGAAATATGATCTCCATATATCCCTATATGTCCCCCCGTGACCCCTTTAAGGGGACCCCATTATTTGAGTCCTTGGACTCTTAGGGCTTAAGCACCCTAAAACCCCCAAAGCCCAAATCCCTACGCCTCGGAAGTCTCTCTACCATCCCAGCTCGGGATGCTGTTTGAAGGTTCAGGGTTTAGGGTTTTAGGTTTTAGGTTTAAGGTTTTAGGGTTTAGGGTTTAAGGTTCACGATTTACAGGTTTAGGGTTTAGGGTTTTAGGGTTTTAGGGTTTAGGGTTTAGGAGTTCAGGTGCTCAGAAGTGATGGGGATTACCGGGTTTTGGGTTATATGGGTACATAAAGTTTAACGTAGGGTTTAGGGATCGGGGATTCAGGGTTTAGGGTTTAGATTTTAGTTCAAATCGGTATGCCTTCAACCTATTTTGAGGATGTTTGAGGTACTTGTAGCTTACAATTTCCTACGAACCTTCAAGCATTGCACAGCACATTGCAGGAGTCGTGCATTTGCGTCGAAGAGACTGATCCCGCAAAAAGCTTACATTACAGCTACATAGGAGCTTTTCTGACGTGGTTTTCATACTGTATCAGACTGAATAGATGCGCCCAAATGGATTTGGGGCTTATAGGGGTTGAGGATTAGGGTCGAGGATGTAGAGCTTACAGTTTAGGATTCAGGGTTGAAGAATTACATCAGGGCTTAGGGTTTAGGATGGTTTGCGCCAGTAATGGGGAATAAGTCCCAGATGAACAGGCGATTCCCATGGCTTTCTACAAGATTTCATTGTCAGTTGTCCAGCTTTCAACGTGTGATTGCACAACTGTGAAGACTCCACCGACCCCGGGGGAACACCCATGCCTGAACCGCAAACCAGTACACAAGCAGTGTTGCTCCAGCTATTGAGGCGCGCCTACCCTGCCTACCCCACCTGCCCATCACGAAGAAGTCCAGCACGCCATTTTTTGATCCTGAAGTCCTGAACCCTATACTGCTCAAGCCGGACCCCTAAAGCGCATGCTGGTGCCGAAGCCCTCTATCGGATGCAGACTGTGCCAAGACGAGCTGGAGCAGAATCGGGCAATCCATTCGTAGAGTTGGCAATTGTGTACGTTGCTAAACCATGCAGAGCTTTAGGATTGGAGTGGAGAGTGTAGGGAATTTTCTCTTCGAGCCCATACGACTTTGCAGACGGCTGTTGGATGATCTCGTCGCATGCCGAATCCGACAGGCGTAGATCAACCAGAAAAAGGGGGCCGTGGTTTAGGGTGCTTGGAGGCTTCAAGGTTATAAAGGCTGAGACATTGTGCTCAGGAAGGTGGTCAGACTCTGTGGTTTCGTCAAGTTGTTGGGACGATGAGTGCAGAGATTTAGAGTAGGAGGGTTTGCCAAGAGGGTTTCGGCAAGAGGGTTCGGCCAGGCAGGGTGGTAATAGCTACCGTATCGTTTCACTAGTCATTATCTCATGCTTGGTCTTTTGACGGCAATGCACAAGTTGCCATGCCTTCAGCGTATTTATAGAGCGAATTGTGTTGGGGTAGGTAGAGGGATCCAAGTACTGTACAGTACGGAGCTGAAGGATTACCAATATCATCTTGAAGTCAGTTTGAGGTACCCTATACCAGAGCCCCTAAACCCTGAACCCTAGGACCTATATACCTAGACCCTCTAGGAGTTTAGACTATAGCTCATATGTTTCTTCAAAACAGGAGGGCCCCGTCCTGGGTCCGTTCGGTTTAGGGTTTAGGGTTTAGGGTTTGGGGCTTAGGGAAAGCTACACCCTAACCCTCACCCATGTTTCGCAAACATCCGAGGGCCAATCCTCCGTCGCTGACCCGGCGCACCGGGCTCCCAGCAAGGTGCAACGTTTACAGTTTAGGGTGCGCATGGTTGCACTGATTCCCCCAACCCTGAACCCTAATCCCCAATCCCTTGTAACTCACATCTATCCCAAGAGTCCCTCGGCCTAAGGGTCCAAGGACCCAAACAGTAGGGTTTTAGGTCCCCAATACTATAATCAATATTAATGGTATCTGGGCCCTAAACCCCTGCTATTTGGGTCCTTGAACCCTTAGGGTTTGACACGCCCCAGATAACAACCCTAAGCCCCAGTATGTGAAGCTGGCCCTCCCGGCTCAATGGTTGAGTTATGCGGTGTAAGTTTCAGGGTCTCGGATTGAGGGTTTTGGAGTTGAATAGCGGGTCAGGGGCTTGATGCCAGTGGTCTCTCCTTCATCCCCTACTGATATGAGCTATGGTCTAAACTCCTTAAAAGGGTGGTTATAAAGGGGATTATATTGGGGACTACTATAGGGCTTATGAAGGGGGATACTAGGAGTTTAGACTATAGCTCATATGGTATTATAGGGGCCTAAATAATTACCAGTATTATGGTTCCATATTCCTTACATAATTATGGCCTATGGCACCTTACATGGACCTCAAAGTGATACTGGTAATTATTTAGGCCCCTTTAGTAGCCCCGGGACATGTAGGCTTGGGTTAAGGTCCTTTTCTCGAATGAGTCGCTGTCACCCTTCCCAAACAAATCTGGAACCTGAAAAGGGGCCCTTGGAAGACTACGGTCCTAGGAAAAGGGGGCTTTTACTGTATGGGAATTCCATGTTAGTGTGGGCAAGGGTAATTGTCCCAAAGGGTCCTAAGTATCTGTATGGTGCAAAGTATAGCTTCTAAACGGTTTGGGTTGGTATACCCTATATATCTATATATATATGTGTGTATATACATATGATTAGGATCCTTTGATTGTGGGAGTGGGGTCTCGCCGCGGACTTCGATATATCTTCGATTCGAACTTCCAGCCCATGACGGGCGAGTCTAGAGGCATGGCTTAGAGTGTGCGGTTTAGGGTTTGAGGTTCCCGCTGATAAACCATGGGAGTAGATCTCGCAGACACAAGTTGGCAGCAGCGGTGATGGATCGGAAAGAAACCCAGAGAGCCCATTACACCTCGAGTAAGGAATATGCCTTCAGTTTTTTTCGTATCCTTAATTTGACACAAGGAATGTTCTTGAGATGCCGCCTAAAGCCAACAAAACGCTGAGGGGCTGGAACGGATGGCACAGCCTTCTCGGACCGGAACTTCTGCCAACCGTCGTCAAGCTCCCCGGGAATGGCGCTATTCTTCCGGGGCTTGGCACGGACTTCGAAGCTTCTGACCGCTCTCTTCATTGTGAAGCTTTGGAATGTTCTTTGATTAGAGGGGTATTGAGCTCCCTGGGAACCCTAAACCCTAAAACCCTAAACTCTAAAGAACCTGGAGCATTCACGCGCAGCAGAACGAGCTTCCTTTCGCTGTTAAACCTTTGCCCAAGGACTAGGGGCCCAAGTACCCAACTAAGAGTGCTTTAGGTCCCACCTGAGGTCCCAAAGTAGGTAAGAAAATGGCCCAAAACCTGCGCAAACAGCCCGAAAGGCCATCATTCTACATACTCTTGAGGTTCAGGCAAAACGTAGGATTTGAGCAGTTTTTGGTATACACCCCGCACAAGAAAATTGGTACTTGGACCCTTAAAATGGGGGACTGGGTAGGAGATTTGGCAAGCCCCATAGGTTGGGTACTGCCCCCCCCCCCCCAGTAACAGTCTATATTAGGGGTCCTATTAAGGGCTATGTATAACCATATTATGATTTTTATCCAACTGTTACTGAGGGGGGGCAGTACCCAACCCATAGGTTTAGAGTTGCCTAAACCCTCAAAAGTAGGTAGAATGATGTCACCAAAGCCCCCAAAATTACCCAAAAGGCCATTCTTCTACGTACATCGGGGGTTTAGGGTTGAGGATTTGAACCCTCAAACGGAAAGAGTACAGTAGGGATTCATTTCCGCAAGGTTTCCTGAGTCCGCACTCGAAGCCGAAAACCCTACCTAAACCCAGAAGTATGCAGGATAATGGCCTTTTAGGCTATACCTCTGGAATTTGGGCCATTATTCTACCTACTTTGGGGTCCAGGTGGACCCTAAATCCTGACGCGCGTCCTGCCGTTCAGGGTTTAGGGCTTAGGGTTCTCAAGTATCCTTCCTCAGGATCACAGCCTCAAGCTGTAGGATGGGGAGCACGCACAGGCCTAAAGAGCCCATTAAAACTTTCATTCAGGGATATGCCCTAATTAAATGGTAGGGCTAGGGTGTATGGATACGCCCTGAGCAATATTAGGACATTTCATATGAGCAGCCGCATTTATTACGGCTAGGCGCGTTGGCATTTTTGCATCTGGCTTCAGCGTTTCTTTGTGTGGATTGGAACGAGATAGGCCACACCATGTTTTGCGATAAGAGCTGGGTCTCAGATCGGAAGATGCAAGTCAAATGATTGAGCCCGCGCGTCTATCAGGACACATGGTAGAACCAGGACGGTTTAGGGTTTGGGGTTTAGGGCTAAGGAGAAATAGGTTTCACAAGTTGGTCAGCTTAGATGTGTCTTAACTTGTCCTTGCTTCCTTTTCACCTGCATATCGCTCAGTGCTTAGGCGCCACTAACCCCGGTAGCCCTTGTCCTCAAACTTGGACCCCTCTACCCTCAACTCTTAACACCCTCTATGGTGGCCTAAATGCCCGCTAGTCAGCACGCTACATCTGTGATATATGGGTACCTGGACTATGATGTGCTGCTATACTGAGAATCTTCAAGACCATTGGATCGCGACCTCCACAGATGCTTCGGAAATGCAAGGGAACCCCATAGCCCATGGCGCACGCTGTTGTCTAGTAGGGGCTACTTGCCTCCAAAAGACCACGCTGACCTCTAAACATTCAACTACTATATTATATTGGAGTTATATTGGGATAATGGATGAATGGAAACTACTATAGTATATTGGGGGTTACATTGAGATACTGGTAAAGAAACGGAAAACCCCAAACAATATCTTAGAGCACACTGGGTCTCAACATGCAGGGATCGCGACACAGCAGCAAATCCTCGGCAGGCAGGCTTGCGATATTGGCTTGTAGGGCTCAGTGAAATTATGCCCCCTTGTTTCCTCGTGGGCGGCGGTATATAGGATTATATGGGGTTATATAGGGTTATGTGCGTCAGGGTTTGAGGGTCGGTTTCTAGATGAGTGGTATGACCTGCAACATAGGATGGCGAAAGGAGGCCCCCCATATTATAGCAAACACCCACGAAAGCCAATCGATATCCCATCATGGATGTAGGGAGGTGCTATGTTTTTCGGTGAGTGCACATAGTATCTAATAATTCGGAATCTCGGCGAATGCATATTTGTTGTGCCCAATTTTGTTTTTTGTGGGAACTAAATTGAGATCCTACCATCTATGATCTGAGGTATGCTCCTCAGTTAAACAAAACTCCAAACCGTAAACTAACCCTAAACCGGTTGCCAGCAGACCACAGCTACACATCCTCGCTTCAAACATTAAACGGGCAGCGGCTATATTTCGGCCCCCTAGTTATGGAAAGTACAATATTTATCATAACACATCAGATCATGGGTTCTATGATGAATATCAGAGGCTAGTGACTAGTGTTCCTTTTTCTGCAGGCTTCTAGATCACCCCTAACCTCTGAAGATATAGGGACTATAAAGATTACAAAGCTCCCATCTAAAGTAAAATCGTCCAAGACTCTGAACCCTAAACCTTAAACCCTAGACCCCAAGGCCTTGAACATGATTCATACCTAAACTGGTTGCTGTTCAGGAGCTTCAGTTGAGTTACTATGATATAAGCTATAGTCTGAACTCCTTAAAACGGGTTTATACACTGAAGTACTAGAGGGCTGATTACGGGGGATACTAGGAGTGCAGACTATGGCTCACATGGCTACAGGAGATGCTCATTATAATAGTCATGTAAGAAAGGTTCCTGAACAGCAATCCAGTAAACCCTAATCATTCCCCAAACCCTAATCCCCAGTCCCTCACCCTTTCCCCTGAATCTTATTCCCCAAACAATCCCTAAATCCTAGACGCCACAGTCCTTTTGTTGGTGGCCCAGATTGTGACACACGCGGTGCGGATTGATCAACAACTTACCAAGCAAGAGAGGGTGGGTTTAGGGTTTAGGGTCATGCTTTGAACTTTGAAGCCATTAGCCCGAAGCTCTTAGAGCCTAAGCCATACCTGTAACCCCGGTTACCTACAATTCAGTCGTAATCATCCTCTAACTGATAGGTATGACCCATAAATCTGGCTAAAGCCTAAACCCTAAATCCCTAAACCCTAGACCACATGTGGGTAATTGGGATTACAAGCCCAATCCCCAAGCCGTACACCTTGCAAGGTCTAGGGTTTAGGATTCAGAGTTTAAGGCTTAGGATGTAGGATTTAGAGTGTAGGGTTCAGGGTTTAGATTTAGGGTAAGTTCTACGCTCTAAGAACGCATAACTCGGCGACTACATGAGGTCCTCCGAGACCCTCCGCCTCGGGTCAGGCGAGACTTGCTTTGGAACTTGGGGTTTAGGGCTTAGGGTTGGGGTTTAGGGTTTAGGGTCTGCGGGTTAGGGTTTACGGCATACTTCGCATGTAGGTTCATAACGAGAGTAGTGGAGAGCCTTTTGCACAGGGTGTACAGGGGTTGTGCACTGCAAGGGCGTAAACAGTTGTCAGCATCATGTTGAGTCTTATTTAAGGTACCTTCAGCCATAATTGTACAACGACTCTTGGAGTTTAGGCCCTTGCAAGGTTCATGTTAGGAGACCTAGGATTATTCTATAGCTTTCTGCGGGTTGTATGAGCCAGAATCTAAACTCCTTACAGGGGGTTTTATAGCGGATTATACAGGAAACTGGTTTCGGGTTTTTAAGGGGGATACTAGAAGTTGAGTCCATGGTTCATGTGTCAGTGTACCTGCCTTAAGGTGACTTGGCCTCAAGGGAGTTGCACCTTGCACCTGGACCTTCACTGAGTCTTCACGCCGTGGTACTTACCCTAAACCCTAAGCCCCAAACCCTACACTGACTGCTTTCCAGGTGTTTACCCACTTCGGGGGTCCAGTACACTCTTTTTGGACGCCCGGGCCTATGGGTGTAGTTCATGTGGAGGATTCACGGCTTAGGGTTCTTGCTTTACCTGGACGCCAAAATATGTAGAATAATGGCCGAAATTCCAGAGGCATAGCCTAAAAGGCCATTATTCTGCATACTTCTGGGTTTAGGTAGGATTTAGGGCTTCAGTATTATTCTTTGTGACTCCACTTCGCTGGCTTCACCTGCTTCGTCGCAGGGCTGCTTGTCTCTCGTGTTGGTTGGAAGTGTAAGCCCTACACCTGAAACCCTAAACACGCAACCGCGTCAGAATCAACGCGTGCTCTAGATTTCACTACAGGGAGTTGGTTTTGGGCAAGAAGGATGATGAAATCTCTTACGAACCTTCCCTAGAAGCCCAGGTACCCATATAGTAGATTCTTGGGTTATAGATAGTATAAGTTTATATAGGGGCCCAAGGACAGGAACCCAATAACTGGGCTTCTAGGGCTTTAGCTTGAGGCAGTGAATGTTGCAGGGTTCACTGCAAGGTCCCAGTATGCAGCAAACGCCACCGAAGTTTGAATGGAAATCCAGATAACCAATCCGACCCGTCATGTTCAGTGTTCTTTTAAGAGCTGCTTTTGCCAGAAAATATTCCGCCCCCTCCCCCCCCGCCTAAACACTGACAAAATGATATTTTTCTTTGTGGTCATGTAGGGTTTTGTCCATCAACTATATGATACATAAACAGCCGGTTGCCTTCGCTGTTGCCAGGCTCTTGCCGCTTCGGCCGCAGTGGCGCAGGCAAAAGGCACACGTTGTGTTGGGGATGCAGGTGGTGTGGATTTAGTTTTTTCTTTGGGTTTAGGGCTTAGGCTTTTGGATGTAGGGTTTAGGATGTTTCTTTGCGTGCCTAATTTTCTCGCTTGAACATCCTAAACTAAGAGCTAGGTACACCTGCTGGTGGCTGAGATTAGATAGGGCCCAAGTTTGCGCGCCTGATGTCTACATGTTCTAACTTTAAGGCAAGACACCTTCCCGCCCCCACGCAACCCAAAACGCGAAGGCACCAATGGGTAAGAGAAACGGCGCCATTACCACATGGCATGCTGTAGTCCAGTAAGTTCATTTTGTAGAGAACATTAATGTTTCGCAGTTTGCTTGCCTAGAATACCCTAAACCCTAAACCCTACGCCATAAACCCATGAAGCAGTGGGCCCTAATCTATAGACCCTAAACTCCGGAGCCCCTAAGCAAGGACACTCAAAGCCTACTGAGGGTAACGTAGACCCGGCCCATGATTCATAAACCCTCTCCTTTTCAGGGCCCAAAATATGAGGATCCCTATTATAATCCCCATTCAGGGCAGGGGCTTGGGGGGTTCATAAATTACATGATTCGATCTCCTGTAATTCTTAGTATTTCTGGGACTTATGGTGGGGCAGCATTTCCTCCTTCAACAGGAGTGCATGAGGTTTTGGATTCCAGGGATCCACCTTGAGGACATTGGGGACCAGAGGGATGCAGGGTTTAGGGTCGAGGGCGGTTCACAATGCGGTTGATACTCCAAATCCTGCATGACCCTAAGTGCCTAAGGGCCTTATACATTGGGAACCATGCGCATTTAGTATTTTAAGATCATAGTTAACACACCTGATCAGGACCCAACAGGGGCGAGAGTACGCAAGGGCAGTGTTGACATGTCGACGCCCGAAAAAAATCGCCGATAGCATATTCCGGAACATGCAGGATATTGTTCGTCTACCGGTGGAATCCATTTCATGAGAAACATCCAGCAGAACGCTACACTGGAACTTCAAAATCAGAATGCCCAGGAATTAGGCTTACGAGGTCATGCGGAACTCGCCTGTCATCGAAAGATCAACGTGTATGTGGGTACGCTGGTGTGGTGATCGAGGACGGCGCGAACATGGGTTGGTCGCCGAAGCAGACTCGAGCATACGCGCTGCGCTAATCACCTCAGCTGTCATCGAAACTACAGCTTTGGATGAGGGTCAGATGATATATTATATGTGCGGCATCGACGACGCCCAAATCAGAGTGGTTGAACTTGTGAAGACTGATAGCCTTTGCGCAGCACATCTCGAAGTTTGCACATCCAATCGGTTCAGCATGATGTCTACAGGTGCGTGTGGCCCAACGAATGCTGTTTCCGTGTGGAGGAGGAAGCCCAAAATGGAGCAAGAACTGTATCCTGGAATATGGGCGCCCACAAGAACAACTTGGTTGTCATGGTTCCTAATATACCCGAAAATACTATAGCAGTTTCCATTTGATCTTCCATGATCCCAATGTAAACCCCATAAACCCTTCATAAGAACAACATGGTTGTCATGGTTTCTCCGCGAGGTTCCCTGAATGACGGCTTCAGCCCAGTGTATGCGCAGCTAGTTTCTCCTACGAGGAGTTTCTCAAGGTTTTTGGATTTGTGTCGTCGCAAATGCAGGATCCTGTCCATCATCAGTGATACAAGATTTTGTCCCTAAGACGTGGACCCTAAACCTTTATATCATCCCTATATAACCCTTTAAAATAGTAGTTTCCATCTTGTTGTCCATTATCCCTACGACCTACACTCGAATATATTATAGTAGCTTCCATGTTCCTTTCCATTATCCCCATGTACCCCCTATACCCCAACATACTGTAGTAGTTTCCATGTAGTAGTTTCCATGTTCCTTTCCATTATCCCTATATAGTACCTATATCCAAATATACTATAGTAGCTTCCATGTTCTTTTCCATTATCCAGATGTACCCCCTATACCCCAATATACTGTAGTAGTTTTCATGTTCTTGTCCATTATCCCTATCAACTACCTATACTCGAATATCCTGTAGTAGTTTCCATGTTCTTTTCCATTATCCCTATACATCCCTGGTATCTACATCAGCTCCCTAAGGCCTCCCTAAGGCTCCCTAATGTCCCAAAAAAATACTATTATGGGGCCCCCTTTCATGGGGCCCCCTTGGGGCTTCCATAATGTAGCAAGGAGAGCAACTGGGCTCTGACAGGTGTGGATTGCGCACTTTGCGGACGCAAGGGAATCTGCCCGGCGCCACGGGATCCTAGAAATTCAGCTTTGCGGTGATATAGGGTTTAGGGTATAGGGGCCCTAGAAATTCAGCTTTGCGGGTTATGTAGGATTTAGGGGAGGTTGAAACGATGGGCCCTTTAGCACCCTAGTACGGGCCTTTTAGCCTGTGTTGGGGTGCCTGGGACCTCAGAGTCCACCACTGTTCATCCCGCATTCTACGTAGAGGGATGATCTACTAAAAAAATGCAGTGGATAGTGAAAGTCCTGCATGACACCGTTAAGTTCTTTAAGCATGGGAATTATGGTGGTGCGGTATACGGACGTAATGCAGGGTCTTCAGTATGAACAGTAGGTTGGTATCTAAGGTGGGCGCTGTTCACTTTACGTATACTTGCACTCCCCCTAACATTAAAACCATCGTACATAGTGTTTAGGGTTTTGAGGGTATACCATAATGGTTTAAGCCCTAAACCATGAACCCTAAACCCTAGGGTTTTTTGGGGGGAAAGGGGTTACTTGCCAACAAAACACACGTACATCCTAGAAACCCTGAATTACGATGGAGTTTTAGGTATAGTTTGCAAGTGGGTACCCTTACAAAAGTCTTGTATAAGGCTTATGTGGGGGTGGGGGCGGCACTAGGATAATATAAGGCTTATGTACCCACCTAAGACTTCCCCAGGCAAAGTCCTAAACCCTAAACCTAGAGGGCGTGGAATACCTACAGGACGTCCTCCGTCAACGGCCTTTACCTGGTTTCAAAAGTAAGTAGAACAGTATGCAACAAACAGAAACGCAGGATTCAGGACTTGGCCAAAAGCGCGTTTGTTCTCCTTTTGGGGTTCGGGCGGTTCAGGTCGTGAGTTTCGCTTCCATGCACGCATATGAGATTAGAGTACTCTACATAAAGCTTCGTACGACTTATTAGTGTACAAGAGAGCCTTCTTCGTAGAGCTCTATGTCCATACTCGGTGCCGAGTTTAGGGCTGAAGGTTTAGTCATTGTTGTTGCCCGTGTCTTTTCTTTGTTCGATTCAGGGCTTAGCTAACCCTAGAAGCCCAGGTACCCATATAGTAGGTTCTTGGGTTATATATAGTATAAGTTTATATAGGGGCCTAAGGACAGGAACCCAATATGTAGGTAACTGGGCTTCTAGGGTAATTGTAGTGGCAGCGGTATAGGAGTTCCACAGGGTACCATCGGACAATCCCCAAAGTGATTCCCGGAATCGCTTTGGGCCCTGAAGGGTGTCCAATGGTCAGTGACGGTCTCCCACTGAAGCACCAGAAGCAAGGAAGGACGGAACAGATCCATGCTGCTAGAGGTGTCAAACAAGGCTGTCGTGCCTCGCCAACTTTCATGGCATTGTTTTGCTACAGCCTAGATGAGAAGTATGGTGCAGGCTGGTGTCAATCACATCTGTCACCCATGCAGATGATACGTATGCTTCCAGGATGATTCCCTAGAAGCCCAGGTACCCATATAGTAGGTTCTTGGGTTATAGATAGTATAAGTATATATAGGGACCCAAGGACTGGAACCCAATATAGAGGTAACTGGGCTTCCAGGATCTTTCACCCTGAGGGTCCAAGGACCCAAGTAATAGGGCGTTAGGGCCCAAATGTTAAAATATTAATGGTATTTGGGCCCTAAAACCCTATTATCTGGGTCCTTGGACCCTTATATAGTCCCCATATATCCCTATATATCCCCTATAACCCCTCTAAGGGGACTCTGGTATTTGGATCCTTGGGCCCTTAGGGTCATACTCCAGATGGATTCTCCGCATGTCTTCAGCAGCTCTCTACCTTGATGGATCTACTGGGGGATATGGGCATGATTCTTAATAAGAAGCCCTAAACCCTAGGGTTAATGGTTTAGGGTTTAGGGTTTAGGGTTTATAGGGTTTAGGGTTTATAGGGTTTAGGGTTTAGGGGTTCAGGGTTTAGGGTTTAGGGCTTAATAAGAAACCCTAAACCCTAAACCTTGGGAACTGCCCCCACCCAGGAACAGTCTACACTAGGGGTCCTATTAAGGGCTATATATACCCATATATTATATCTATTATCCAATTGTTACTGAGGGGGGGCAGTATCCAACCTAAACCCTAATGGTTCTTAATATGTCCGTACTTGGAGGGTCGGGGGGACTTGGTAAGTAGGTTAATAAGGGGGATAAGTAGGGTTACTAATGGGGTGGTAGGGGTTATTTACCTACTTACTAAGTCCCCATGACCCTCCAAGTACTGACAGCGCAGCAGGGGCCCTTTTGACGGTTCATGGCCCTGGATACTTTGAGCTTGGAACCTGCCCCACTCAGTAACAGTTGGATATAATAATTATAATATGGTTATATATAGCCGTGAATAGGACCCCAAATATAGACCGTTACTGGGTGGGGGCAGTACCCAACTTTGAGCATTCTGTCCAGAGTCCGGAAGCACCGAAGCCAGGGCCCGCCAGGGGATTCAGGGTTCTTGTCTGGGTAGGCCCCTGGGATAAATATTTTCCCCAATGGCCTTAATAGGGGACCCTATAGATTAATGTTTTTCAAAGGGCTTTACGGGCCAACCCAGCGAGTATGGCTTTTGCGGCCGTTTATAAGGGGGATTTAAGCGATCATTTTGCCAATTGTTGAGGTCCACATTATGTTTAGGGTTTATGTCCGTGGGCTCGTGATTTCCGAGGCACCGATGGCAGCTGCTTCTGTACAGATTGCAGCCGGCGTCCAGACCTCAGATTTCCGGGTTCATCGTTCGAATCCAGGTACCTGAACACTATAGAGATAGGTCTCAAAGACACTTCAGATTATAGTATTTCGCGCCTAAAAAACATCTGTCATTTGGGTACTTGGACCCTTACACCTTGTATATCCCCAGATATCCATACACATCCCCATAAGCCCTTTAAAGCCCTGTGATTTGCATACTTGGACCCTACAGGTATACTTGGAAAACTCGAGGAAAGCCAACACTCCCCTCAGTCCGGGAAGTATTGTACCTGAGGTTGGGGTCGAGGGCTGAGTTTAGGGTTTAGGTTCTTAGGGTTGCTAGTGCCTGAACCCCAACAATATATAGAATACTAGCCTTTTGGGCTGCTTTGATGGGTTGTTGACCTACTTTGGGGATTTAGGTGAGGTGTCCCCTAGCACCAGATTTACCGGCTACCTACCCTTTGTGCTTACTGGTGAAGTCGGTCGATGCGAAGCGTACAACAAACTCAAAATCATTGGCCCTCTGAGCCATCAAAGCCTCTAGATTGCTCTAAACCTAACACCCTAATCCTCTAAACTCTTAGTAAGTAGAATATTGGCCCAAAACCCCTAAACCCAAAAGGCCATTACTTTACATGCCGTTAGGGGATTTAGGTAAGCCCTTAAAGCCGAGTTCGGAGGCTGAAGCTCAAGTATTGGGGTGGGGAGGTGGAGGAATCGAACAGGTCTAGGGGTTTGAATTGTACCTACCCTCCACTGTACTTATTTTGGGGGTTGGCTATGCTTTTCGTTTCGAATTTCTAGGCCCCCTGGCACATAATACAATGAACTGTCTAGTTGGGCGTTCGGGTTTGAAGATTAGATCCCCCCCCCAATACTACCCCCCCTGCCATGTTTCCTCCAAACTTCATTTGACCTAGCCCTTAATCAGATATGTCCACAAACAGCTCTAGTCAAGGAGGAAGTCTGCATCTCGCTTGAATTATCGCTGCTTATCCGATCCCTGAACAGATTTAATCAAGCGGGAACCTAGCGAGAAAGGTATGGGGGGGTGGTGTAGTAGGGAGTCCGCAAGGCACCTGCACTTCAAGTGTAGGGTTTGAGATTTTGTGGTTGAGGTGTTTAGGGTCTACGGTTTAGTCGTTAGGGGGTTCCCTTCAATCCCCTCCCACTCGCAGCAACCCCCAAGAACCCTAATAACACAAATTCTCCCGGTGAATGATGGTACTATATTGGGCGACTTCGTTATTAGGTTAGTTATTAAGTGAAGGAATTGTGTACCCGTGTGATTGCTTTCAAGACAACAAAAAAGGGGGCGCAACTACAGTACCAAATATCAGCGTGCTTGGCCAAACCTTGGACAAGTTCATCGACCTTGTCCTTAGCTCCCCAAATTCCGGAATCTTTCTCACCATTAATTTCAAAAATAGCCTCAAACCCTCACATACTTCTGCAAAACCTGTACCACAACGACTAATACCCAAATCCCAAGTACCCAAGACTTGGCAACCATGAGCCCTAAACCCTAAATCCTAAGCCCTAAACCCTAAATCCTACACCTTGAATGCTAACCCCTAAACCCTAACCCCTAAACCCTAAATCCAAACCACTAAACCTAAATCCTAAACCCTAAATCCAAACCACTAAACCCTAAATCCTAAGCCCTAAACCCTAAATCCTAAATCCTTCTGACTTGCGGGGTCGAAAAAAGGGTGGTAAAAAAATCCTAAACCCTAAAGGCCCCCAACCCCGAGTCTGCCAAGGCATGAGCCTTTTAGATGCCGGAGCCTCTCCGGCTTCTGCCGCTTGACACGGGCTTAGGGCTTAGGGTTTAGG